GGTATTGTGCCCTCGGGGTTGAAGTTGAATTCCTCCAGAGATGGTTCTGCTGGCTGTCTAGGAGCTCTGCCCACTCCGGGGTCACCCCCAAATTAACTGTGCTCTTACATTTGGGGGGACCACAGGAAAAGCGTGAACTGCACAGGAAGAACCTCTGGAGCCGTCTGGTGGTTATGAGCTCTCTCCACAGCTCAGAGACGGTTTCCTGCTTCCCCTGGAGGTCCCCCTTCCTCTTCTCCCCTGGCATGTTGGGGGACCCAGTACCATCTCCCCAAACTGGGTTGTCAGGCGCTCCACAGGGATGGGGGGCCCAGCGCCATCGCCCCGAGCTGAGGGCCCAAGAACCTGGCTTTAGGACCCTCTCTCAGCAGCAGCTGCATACGGACGGACGGACGAGCTGCATACGGACGGACGGACGGACGAGCTGCATACGGACGGACGGACGAGCTGCATACGGACGGACGGACGGACGAGCTGCATACGGACGGACGGACGAGCTGCATACGGACGGACGGACGGACGAGCTGCATACGGACGGACGGACGGACGAGCTGCATACGGACGGACGGACAAGCTGCATACGGACGGACAGACGAGCTGCATACGGACGGACGGACAAGCTGCATACGGACGGACGGACGAGCTGCGATGGCAGGAGGGCCCCTGGGAGACCCCCCTTCAGGGTGGAGATTCCCCGCGCGGAGGCCTGCACACCGGGGCCCGTGCAGCGCCAGGAGTGGCCGCAGGTCCGAGCTCGTGCTGCTGTCTCGGTTCCCACACTCTCACCCCCAGGACAGCGCGCGCTGCTCCCCCTGCTGCACAGATAAGGAAACTGAGGCCCGGGGGGCGGGCTCACACGGTGTGAGAGGCAGAGCTGAGGGCTCCGCGTGGCCGGTCTGTCTCAGGAACCCCAGCTCCTCAGCAGCACAGCGCCCTGCTGCCGATGGGTCGTGTGGTCCCCAAAGAATGATGATAAACGACCTGTTGTTGCTGCTGGTCTGGACACAGTCCTCCCAGACTGGGTGGGTGTCTCTGCGGCGTGGACAAGAGACGAGTCGACATGTCATTTTTGGCTCAGGCTAGAGGGTCATTTATTTGAACAGCGGACCGTTGATTAGCACCGGAAGACAGATGCGTTTCGTTTGGTCTGCACTGTATTAAATTTTTTATTTGTCGTTAATGTTTTAAAGTGGAAGCATTTTGCATAGACGTCGGGATTTCCACGTGGCAGACACCAGCTGGTGTGGCGGCGGGTGAGGGGTGCTGCGGCAGGCCGGGAGTCCCCGCTCCCCTCCCCAGCCACGAGGCTGCGTACGCGAGGCCATTTATTATCAGGGAGCCGTTGCTTTTTCAGAGAGTAAATATTTCTCGAATCTGAGTGTCTAGCAATGGTGGAGCCGTAGAAAATAGACCGAGAGGGTTTCCTATTGCAAAAAGGTTGACTCCAGCATCCAGTGACTTTTCTTATGGTCACCATCTGCCCGGTCCATGGGCCCGGCGTGGTGGCCCCTGGAGGCTCCGTCTCTCATTTACAAAGCAACTGAGGCCCCGAGAGGGATGACGACTTGCGGACGATCATTGCCCGGTGAGTGACAGAGCCGAGATGGGAACCCAGGTCCCTGGCTCCCGACAGCTGGCCCCATGGCCTCGGCTCGCATGGTCTTGTGGCGACGGCCCGACATTTCTCTCACAACACCCCAAGATCAAGGTTTATTCGACCACTCGGGTGCCCTTCTCCCTCCTGGAGAAGAAAAAACGATCTCGTCAAGCATCATGAAATGAGCACGTTGTGGGGATGACCTTCTCAGGATGATTCTGTTTCAGTGGCAGGACCGGTCCGTTTGAGGACAGTCCCTGTGATCAGCCAACGTGAAAACCGCGGAGTCTCCTGCTCCTTGGTGTCCACAGGTCCTCCACGGGTTTGAGTCGCGTGGGGAGGAAAGGCCAACCCAGGCCACTCGGGAGACAGACTTTCTTTGCAAAGGGAGCGATCGGAGAGGAGTCGGTCACCCCTCTCAGGACGTCCAGGCGGCCAGCCCCGGCCACGGGCACACGTCAGTCACGACCTGACCAGCGAGTGTGGGGCTTCGCTGCCCTCAGCACACAGCCGGGCGAGCACCGGTCACGCCGGGAGCAGGCGGGGAACCGTCCTCCTCCATCTGCTCCGTTTAGCGGCTCCAACAGAGGCTCAGCTTCTCGCAGCCAGATGGACACGTAAACGTTTACAGTCGATGCTTCCAGCCAGGAGGACCTGCCCCAGGCTGAGCCGCACGCTCCTCCCGCAGCCCCTGTGGGGGCTCCTGCCTCCCGCGTGCGGAGCCCCAGGACAGGGAGGCGTCCGCCCTCGGCCCTGGCTGGGGCAGTTTGGACTGCGTTTTTGTTGTTTGTAAAGTTAGGGAAGTGTAAGTGCATTTACCCTGATTAGAATCCTCGTCCCGGACGATGGGCACGCTGCCCCCGCTGTGAATGGTGAGTGGGCTCCCCTGGCGGTGTTTCAGGGAGCAGGGCGGTGTTTCAGGGAGAGCCGGTGCCCAGGATGACCTCCTGTCCCCCCCAGCGCACAGGTCTCACGGGCCTCGGTGTGTCCCAGGCGTGTTTCTTTGAGATGAGAAGGCAGTTGAAAAGCATTTCTTTTAAAAAGCCTCCGGCCCTGGCCGGTTTGGCTCAGCGGTTAGAGCGTCGGCCTACGGTCCAGAGAGACCCGGGTTCGGTTCCCGCTAAGGGCACGTACCTCGGTTGCAGTTTGTCCCCGGCCCTGGTTGGTCGTGTGGGTGGCAGCCACTCGATGTGTCCCTTCACGTCGATGTTTCTCTCTCTCTCTCTTCCTCTCTCTCCTTCCCACTCTATCTGTACAAAAAAATGGAAAAATATCCTCGGGTGAAGATAAAAAATAAAATAAAAAATAAATAAAAAGCCTCCGGTTTTGCTCTGGTTGTTTGCTCAATGGTTAGAGCCTCAGCCCGCAGACCCGAGTCTCGGGTTCGATTCTGGTCAAGGGCATGTTCCTCAGTTCGTCCCCGGCCCTGGTTGGGTCGTGCGGGAGGCAGCCAGTCAATGTCTCTCTCCCGTCAATGTTTCTCTCCCTCCCTCCCTCCCCCTCTACCTGAAGATAAATGGGAAAATATCCTCAGGAGAGGATTTAAAGAAAAAAAATCCTCCTATTTCTTTTCCTCCAGTTGCACCTGACTCTGAGCCTCGTGGTCCCTGGAAGGCTCCCCGGGGAGCACACCCTGTCCCACCCCAGGCTCCGGAGGGGGGCCAGGAAAACTGGGAGCCATGAATTCAGCGGGGTGGCCGGGCCTCAGCCTTCGGGACTTGGGAAGAGCGGGAGGACCAGGCTCGGAGCCGGCCGGGCCAGAGGAGGTGCCCGAAGGGCTCTGTGCCGGGTCAGCGACGACTCAGGTCTGCGTGACAGTGCGGCCACAGGCGCTGGGGAAGCCCCGCTCCTGCCGGAGCCCGGAGTCCAGCGTGGCCTTCGACAGCGTCTCTGAGTCCACCTCCTCTTCACAGACGCAGACGCTGCAGCACTGGGGGTGGGGTGGGGGGGGCCTGCGTGGGCGGGAGCACGCTGTCCTCTGCAGAGTGCAAGCCACAGTCCCGCCGCCAGAGCTGGCCAGGATCACTGTGCTGGTGGGCAGGCGGTGACCGAGGGTCTGGCCTCAGGCCACCTGCCCGGTCTCGACCTCCGAGGTGTCCGCAGCTCCTTCCGCGTCCATCTGGTGCACGTGCCCCGGGCTCGGGTGGCGTTGGCGGCTCGGACTCTGAAAGTCTGCGGAGCACTGTGCTTGGGGGACACGGGCTTCTGCTCCACACCCCTCCACTCCGTTTTCTCGTTCTGTTCATTTTTCTTCCTTTTTCTTGGTGTTAATCCTCCCCGAAGGATCTTTTCCATTGATTTTTTAGAGACAGTGGAAGGGAGGGAGGGGAGAGAGAGACAGAGACAGAAACATTGATGTCAAAGACACATCTATTGGTTGCCTCCCACTCACGCCCTGAGCAGGGCTTGGGATCAACCTGGAGCCCAGGCATGTGCCCTTGACCGGCAGTCGAACCCGTGACCCTTTGGTGCTCGGCTTGATGCTCTAACCACTGAGAACACCGGCCAGGGCTCTTAACAGAGTGTCTCGGCTCAATCCCAATGCTGTTAGAGTGCATACACATACACGCACGCATGCATGCACACACACATGTACGCCATGTGTACACGCACAAGTGCACATGTGCCAAGGCCCACCGCAAACCAGCACGGTGCCGAGCTCTGGGACCTGGCTAGAGGTATTTCAGAGCTTCCCGGGTAAAGGTGACCCCAGGTGTAGCCAGGGCCGAGGGCCGCCTTGCTCAGCCCCCCGGGGACCCACCTGAGCTCCCCAAGCGCCGCTGTGTTAAACCTGACTGGACGGAACGCTGGGGAGGCGTATGCTACCCCAATGCACTGTGACGCTGGGCTTAGCGCAGCCCTACGTGGTCATCGCGGATATGAAGAGCCGTACCGTCCGAGAGGGGAAAGGGGACTGGCGTACGGCCCCGCAGACTGACCCACAGGGTGTGTGCCGGTCCCCCTTCATGACCCTCAGCCCACAACCTCCCTCCCGCTCGCCTTCAGTCTCAGCCGCCACCAGCCTTGCTCTGTGGCACTGTTTTTCCACATGGAACTCAGTGCAGTGTGTTAAAATCAGCTGTTGGCACGTCCCGTCCTTCCACCAGACCGTGAGCCCTCGAGACAAGACAGCCTCCGATGCATCTTGTTACCCCACCGAGAGGACAGGCATGTCTGTGTGGTGCCCAGCAGAACCCACTGCACCCTGTGGAAGGAGGGGGGAGGGAGCAGAGCAGACCTCGACCGCCTGCGAACCTGCCAGGGCGCTCTCCTGGCTGAAAGTCCCTCACCTGAGTGGCCGTAGCAACAGCACGGAGCCCAGGGGTGCCCGGGTGTGCAGGACGCAGATGGTGCCGGGAGGCTCTGCGTTCCCGCGCTCACCACCTGCCGCTTCTCTCCGCAGCCGCCTTCTCGGGCCTGGGCTTCACGACCTTCTACCTGGCCGGCAAGCTGCGCTGCTTCACGGAGACCGGCCGGGGCAAGAGCTGGAGGCTGTGCGCGGCCATCCTGCCCCTGTGCTGCGCCACCATGATCGCCCTGTCTCGTCTGTGCGACTACAAGCACCACTGGCAAGGTGAGCCCCTCCCCCCTCCCGCAGGCCGGGCAGCGCAGGGCAGGCTGAGCGAGGAGCCGTTTCCAGGAAAAGGTGCCTGTGCAGGTGGTTCTGGTGGACCCTGCCCCGCCGGGCACAGAGCCGGAGCCCCTCCCCCCACGCTCAGGGCGCGCCGGCATCCTGTGTCCTGCGGGATGGTGGCCCTGGGCCCAAAGGGACTCCCCTGGGTCACGTGCCTGAGTCCTCAGACTTGGGGCCGAGCCGCGTATGGCTCTTTTCATGTCTTCCGTCCACCCTGGAGGACACTTCTCACTGTGCCTGTTTCCAAAGGAAGTGGACAGCCCGGGGGGGGGGTCAAAGCCAGGGGCACAGCCCCCTCCCCCTGTTTCCGTTCTGCAGCCCAGGGCCTTGGGGGACGCCCTTTTCCTGCCTCCCCAGTGTTTGTTCTAGTGGCCCTGGGGCAGGGCAGAGGCCAGGCGAGGGGAGCTCCTAGCTGGGTGCCTTCGCCCATCCGCTCCAGGGTCTCCTGCGCCCCCAGCCTCTCCTGCTCTTTCTGGGGCCTCAGCTCACCCTCCACCCTGCGCCCTCCCGGAGCGCATCCTCTGGGCATCGTGAGCCTCCAGCAGCGGCTGACGGGGGGGTGGGGGTGCAGGGGAAAGGGGGTGGTGCCAGGGGGGGGGGGGGGGGGGCCACAGCCGGGCCCTGGCCCTCCCGTGGTCTCTGGGTTACGTTCTGGATGAGGCACAGCTGTACCGGGAGAGGGTTGCTGAGCCAGCAGCACCAGGACAGACCCACTGCCCCTTGGATGGGCTGTTGTCCAGCCCCTTGCGGTTCCCACGGAGAGCGAGCTGTGGGCGGGGTGGGCTTCCTTCCTCCTCCTTCGGACGCGGGACAGTTCTTCCCGTCAGCTCCCAGGCTGAGCGACTGTGGGTCTGAGCCACTCTGTCCCTGAGACTCGCCACACAGGTGAGACTGGTCTTGTGCTTCAGGCTCCGTCTCTAAGGTGGGTGTTTCCCAAACAGCCGGCTCAGAGGCACCGTTTTCGGAACGCTGACTACTCTAAGCCCCGAGCCCCGGTCTTCACTCTCACTCGGACACCTGGGATCCGAGAAAGGACGAAGGGTTTCAGAACCAAGTAGATTTCTGCTCTGTCTTGAGCCTTTGTGTGGCGATTCTGTCCTGAAAACCTCCCGCAGAGGCTGGCCCCTCGGGAACACTCCTGGTCCCGTCGGTTGTGTCCCTCGTCGCCTGGCGAGGCTGCTGATGACCAGAGAATGAACAGCCAGTGCTTGGCTCTAGGGAGCCGGGGACACAGCAGCAGCTGGTGCCCCAAGGCCTGCTGGTGCGTCCGTCCAGCGGGCACAGGAAGGAGCTTGGCGCAGACGAGGGAGAACACCCACCCCCTGTGGCCGAGGGGGAGGCAGAGTGAGGCCCGTGTTCAGTGACAGACGGGGCTGCACTGGTGGGGACAGGCCAGGGGTGCCAGCCCCTGTCAGCTTGCACCCCAGACTCAGCCACGAGGGGGGTGCCTGTCCGTGGACGCTCTAGAGGGCTGTGAGTCAAGTTCCTTGTAGCTGAATCTCCCTCCGGGAGGCCGTCCGTCCCCGTCTGCGCCGGCGTCTGGACGGGGCAGGGGGCACTGTCCCTCGCAGGGGCGTTTCTGTGTCTGGAGACATCATTTTGGTTCTCACAACAGAGAGTGGCGGTCACTGCACATCTAGTGGGTAGAGGCCAGGGAAGCTGCTGAACCCCCACAGAGCACAGGGCAGCCCCTCCCCCACAGCGCGGACATACCAGGCCCGAATGTCTGCCCTGGGGTTCAAGACCCCAACCACACAGCCTCTCAGCTCTGTTGCTCTTTCCCTTACTCCCCGTTAGGGAGCCGCAGTGCTCAAGGCTCGGGACACTGTCCACGCTGTCCACTCAGCGCCCACTCACGGGGTCATCAGGGAAGCCGCAAGGTGTCCAGCGTGGAGGGGGGCAGACCCCAGGCTGACTGCCGTGTGCACGGGTGCTTGAGGCGCCGCCTGCGGGAGATGCATCAGGTGTGGCTTTGCTTTGGTGGCCTGAGCTGCCCGGCGGCCGTGGGTGGGCATCCGTCATGCTGAGAAGTCACGTGGCTTCTCCTCGTGGACTCGTTAACACTGACGTGGTGAGATTTTTACGACTGCGTTTCGGTTTCCATCTGAGCAGCCTGCCTCGTGTGGAAGCACCTCCGGGGCTGTGTTCGTGGCCGACGGCCACCATCTCACCTCTCTGTCCGCTGTCGTGGCTGCTCCCACGTCCCGTGGACTTGAAGCCTCGCTTCATTTTACTCCAGGGGACCCTCCCCTCTGCTCTCTGTGACTTTCTCTGGCCTCTCGTAAGGCTCTGTGCTCAGAATGTTTCCAGAATCCAGCTTCCTCCTCCCTGTCCAGTCCAGACCACCGTACCTGTTGCCTGGATTCTCGCCAAGTCTCCCCCTTTCCCCCTTTGCCCCTCACAGCAGCCGGAGTGAGCCTTCCTTCTGACTCCTAAGCCAGCTGTGATGCCTCAGCTAAGGGCCTCCGGCCCCCCCTGGGGCTACTGCAACGGGGGCCAGAAACTGAGCGGCTCAGCACAGGAAATGGTCCACCGGTCCGGAGGCCAGACTTCCAAAATGAAGGTGTCAGAAGGGCCACACTCCCTCCACCTCTTTCCTGCCTTCTGGCTTCTAGTAGCCCCAGACGTCGCTCCAGCCCCTGCCGGCGTCTTCACCGGTGTTTCCCGGTGTTTCCGCGGCATCGCCCTGTGTCTCTGTGTTCAGATTTTCCCCTTTTTTAAGGACACCAGTCATAGCAGATCAGAGCCCACCCGAAGGTCTCATTTAACTTGATGGCTTCTGTACGGACCCCATATCTAGACAGGGTCACTTCTGCGGGACTGGTGGTGAGCCCTTCAGCAGCTCTTTTGGGGGGACACCATTCAACCCCCAATAGGGCTTAATAAATGTGTGGTGAATGAATGAATGACTCATGCTCCTCTCTTACCTAGTATCAGTTTTTCTTTCTACAGGCTTCCCGAAAATTAACCTTATTCTCCACAAGTTCTTTCCTATTAAAAATGAACCGAGCCCTGGCCGGTTTGGCTCAGCGGTTAGAGCGTCGGCCTGCGGTCCAGAGAGACCCGGGTTCGGTTCCCGCTAAGGGCACGTACCTCGGCTGCAGTTTGTCCCCGGCCCTGGTTGGGTCGTGCGGGTGGCAACCACTCGATGTGTCCCTTTCACGTCGATGTTTCTCTCTCTTTCTCTCCCTCCCACTCAATCTGAACAAAAAATGGAAAAATGTCCTCGGATGAGGATAAAAAAAAATGAACCGAAAATTTCATTCATTCATTCAGTTGGTTGTCAGTCTGTCTGTCTGTCTCTGGTGCCCTGTGGCAGGCAGGTTCTCTGCCGCAGGTGCGGTGTTGAGGACGACGGATGTGGCGTCTGCCTCCCAGCTCAGTACCAGGTACAGCGTGTGGGCCCCGCGCTGTGCAATCCCCTAAAGAAACCCAAAGCCCCAGAAACAGGCGGCTCTGCTAGTGATTGAATAGAAGGAGCATCAGCAGTTACGTGGGGTTCTCGAGTTTGCAGAGTTGATTTTTACATGCGTATCTTGGATCGTGGAACCCAAGGCAACAAGGTCCCAGATGAAGGCAGCTCAGGGATGTGGGGCGTTGCCATGGTGACGGGGAGGGCGGTGTCCCTCCTGGGACTGGACAGCACACCCTCAGGAGCCTGTCTGCTTGCTCGCGCCGGAGCAGGTGAGCACGGCCAGCACCTCGGTGTGCAGACCCGTGGGAGGCCACGAGAAGGCCGCGGGGTCGCACCCAGTCTGCAGGGAAACATGCAGACCCAGGCTGCCTGATGCCACGTCCACCTTGCACCACCGTGGGAGCCTGTTGGGCACTGATTTCTCCCCTTTGATAGCTTTGTTGAGGTTGATGCGTAACTCATTCATGTCCCCCCCTTTCACTTGTTTTCATTTTTTTTTAATCTATTTTTATTGATTTTTTTTTTTTAAGATGGAGAGGAAGGGAGAGGGAGAGAGAGAGAAACATCGATGAGAGAGAATATTGATTGGCCTCCTCCTGTATGCCCCCCACTGGGGATCGGGCCCACAAGCTGGGCTTGTGCCCTGACTGGGAATTGAACCAGGGACCTCTCTGTGCCTGGGTCAGTGCTCAACCAGTGAGCCACACTGTCCGGGCTCATGGCCTCTCTTTTAAAGTGTATTATTCAGTGACGTTTAGTATATTCACAGCTGTGCAGCCATCACCAGTGTCTAATTCCAGACATTTCGTCACCCCCAAGAGAAGCTCATACCCCTTCTTCCCCAGCCCCTGGCAGCCACTAACCTACTTCTCTGTCTCGGGATTTGCCTGTTCTGGGCCCTGCATGTGCCTCGGATCACACACGGTGTGGCCTCTGTGGTGGGTGGTGTTGATTCTTTAGTGTATCTCGTGGGTGTTGTTCAGTTCACCAGACATTTACCGACGAGTGACTGCTGGGTGCTGGGTGCTGGGCTCTGGGCTCTGGGTGCTGAGCTCTGGGCTCTGGGCTCTGGGCTCTGGGCTCTGGGCTCTGGGTGCTGAGCTCTGGGTTCTGGGTGCTGGGCTCTGGGCTCTGGGTGCTGAGCTCTGGGCTCTGGGTGCTGGGCGCTGGGCTCTGGGTGCTGAGCTCTCTGGGTGCTGGGCGCTGGGCTCTGGGGAATGAACTGGGGGGCAGTCAAGGGCTCACCACCGAGTGACAGTCGCCCGGCGGGGCCCTGGCTCCTGCTGAGAGCTGCCACAGCCTGAAGGGATAAGAGATGGGCCTTCAGTTTCTCAAGTTGGCCACACCGCCTCCTCCTCCTTCTGCCCTGAAGACTGGGGTGCCCTCCATCCCTCCCTGCCTCCCCTTCTCACTTGCCCTGGCCACGCCTGCCCCCCTGCAAGGCTGGCCTGTGGGGGGCCCTCCCTGGAGCCGCTCTGGTCCTGACCAGCCAGGCCACGCGACGGGTGAGCTCAAGACCTGCTCTTCTCCTGCACGGCAGTCACAGCGGGCTCGCCGGCCCGCGGTCACTGGCAAGGTCTCTGAGCACGTGCGAGGCGCTGAGGCTCGGCCCCGGGCCAGACAGCACCGCTGACCCAACACCCTGCAGTGCAGGCGTGATGAATACGTCCCGTCAGCGCGGAGAAGGAACCTGCCGTACTCTGTGCGCCAGGGACTCGTGAGATCTGTGTCTCCCGCTTTGAGCCCTCCAGCCTCATGCTGCCGTGTTCGGGGTGCGGTCAGGGCCGTGTGGGTTTCCCTGACCTCTGCCTGCCTTCCCGCCAACACGCCCTGCCGGATGGAGCGTGAGTTCGTCACCAGCAACAGCCCATTTGAGGCACCTGACGACAGTCTCCCCATAAAGCAAGTCGTTACCTGGACCTTGTTCCTCACCTTGGTCGTAAACGAAGCCCCGAAGGTGACTTGGCTGAGTTCATGGCCCTGGTCGTGTCTGGGAGCAGCCCGGGCCCGAGTCACTGCTGCGCCTCGTGCTGTTGCGACGTGTCGGTGAGACAACCAGAGACGCAGAGCGGGCTGTGCAGGAGCACCTGATGACACGGGCGGGCTGGGGGGCTCCCAGGTCCCAGGTCCCAGCCTCCTTTGTTCTCTGCTTACACAGGAACAGAATACAGAAAAAACTACATTAAAAAAACAGAAAGAGCTACATTCAAAGAAAAAACTTACATTCCCCCTGGCTCCACTTCATCGGCCTCGGGGCTGATACAGACGTCTCCAGAGAAGGGGGTGGGTGGTCATTAATGTCTTCCTCTCTGTGGTCCCGCCGAGTTCCCCAAGGCCGTCATCACCCCTTATCTTCATGGTCCCTCTGGGTGTCAGTCCCAGGATTTTTAGAAAACTGCTCAGGTGTTCACGTGCGGGAATAACTGATCAGAATGGAGTTTGATTTTTTAAAATAGCCCAGTTCAGGTCCATTGACTGGGAAAACAGTGTCACACGCAACGCCGCTCCCCTGTGTGTGGCCCCGGCAGAAACCTGAGGGACACATGCCCGGATGTCCGGTGTCTTGGTCAGCGGCCACCTCATGAAACACCCCAGAAACTCGAAAGGCGTCTGTGATGCGGCTCTTTGGTCCGTTCAGTGGCTCAAGGGCTGATGTACATTATTTCAGATGCTGACAGAGATAACACCCCCGGGGGCTATTCCCTGGGGTTCGAGGAAGAACCCAACAGTAGTGGACAGAGCCCTGGCGGTCTCCTAGGCTGTGGCCACCGGCTGCTCCCCCTCTGGGGCCCGTGCTTCCGTCCCACCGGTGAGCCTGTGACCCCACTCGGGAATGCAGGGCACATAAGACTTTCCCATTTCTGGGCAGCGATGTTTCTTAAGTTCATTAGACGCTTATTCAAAAAGATGTGTCACCATGCTAGAGAGAGTCAAGAACTCCAGCCCGGCCGGTGGGGCTCAGTGGTTGAGCGTTGACCCGTGTACCAGGAGGTCGCCGGTTCAATTCCCCGTCAGGGCACATGCCCAGGTTGTGGGCCCATCCCCAGTGGGGGGCGTGCAGGAGGCGGCCAGTCGATGTTCTCTCTCATCCATGTTTCCATCTTTCTTTCCTTCTCCCTTCCTCTCTCTCTAAAAATCAATAAAGAAAAAATATTTTTTTAAAAAGACTCCACCCCGTGGGGTCACCGTGGGCACTGAAGGATGGAGGGAGACGGAGGCAGGATCCGAGTGATGCGCCCCGTGCTCAGGCCCTGCATGTGGCAGGCTCGGTGGACAAGGACCCCGGTACATTGTCATCGAAGTTGAGGCAGAGGCGGGGGTTCTGTCTGGGGGCCGGGAGACTGAGGCTCGGGTGCAGCGAGCTCCCTGGTGAGGCCGCCGTGTCTTGGCCCGAGGGGCCCTCGGCCCGGAGGGCTCTCAGATGGAGGGTGGACGTAGGTGCTGGACACCTCGCCGTGGCCGTAGAGTTCAGGACAAGCCTCTCCAAGAGGCGACACTTCTGCGTGTGGGTTATTCTGAGCGGAAGGTTTTCAAGGCTGTGCAGGCTCAGGAGAAACGTCTGCCCCTCCCTCAACTACCAGAAGAATCTGAATTGGGGGCCTCGCCCATAACGAGTTCTCACCAGAAATAACTTTTTACGACCTGACTGTGTGGCCAAGCACACGTCTAATTACCGAATGTGTGCTCTCTGCCCGCAAAGTGCTGCCCTCCCCCTGGAGTCCAAGGCGCCTCACCGCATCCTCGGCTCAGAACGTCGCGTGTGCCTTCTGTCTCCGCACCTGTCACGGACGGGGTCTCTCTCCCGTGTACGTGGGCTTCCCGTACCCGCGTGTGTAATTAAACGTGGTCATTGCCTCATATTAACCTACCTCACGTTGCTCTGTTAGACTAAGAATCTGGACGAGGAGAAGGAATGTGTCCCTTCCCCGCAGCCAGGTTCCTGGGAGCCGGGCGCCCCCCTCCCGCGTGGGGGCCGCTCACCAGGCGGAGCAGGCAGATCGTGTCTCCCCCGCTCTGCCGGGGGCCGCCACAGCCTCGCGGGCTGAGGCCCGGTAGTTAGAAAGCTTTGTGTCCAGCTGATGCTTCATTCCCACCAGCCACGCGACCTACTTTCTAAATGGACCTCGGCGGGGTTTCCGGGTGACTTGAATGCTTGGTCTCAGTAGGCTGACCCTGGGGCCCAGATCCTGGAACACGTATGGGGGGGGGGCTGCCTGTCTGACGCCCTGAGGCTGCTGATGAGGAAACCGAGGCCCAGGGAGGGGGAGGCTCACGCAAGGACACAGAACAGCGGCCAACCTCTGCATCAGTTTGTCCGTCCCCTCGGCCAGCACAGTTCTGTGAGCACAGCGCGGTTCCGGGGGTTTGGGGCACAACAGCCACAAGCAGCCCAGGTGCAGAGTTGGAGCACCAGGCTCAGGTGCCCTGTTCGCAGGGTGCGGCCTCTCTGAGCCCAGAGCACAGTGCGGCTCCCTGCCCGTGGGTGCGCCCCAGGGTGGGAGGGAGGGGAGGCGGGGGCGGCGCATCGATGGGTTGCCTCCCACATGTGCCCTGACCGGGCCAGGAACTGAACCCACAACCCTTCAGTCTGCGGGCGGACGCTTTCACCGCTGAGCCAAACCAGCCATGGCCAAGGTTATGTTGTTAGGGGAGGAGTCACGCTGCGTGAGGGTTTGGGGCAAGAACAAGCCACAGACACACAGTGCGGGTGGTGGGCATGCTGCTGTGGTGGGGTCTCGGTCAGGCCCAGTCGGATGCCCTCATTGGCACGGGCTGCCCCACGGAGGGGGGCTCTTCCCCGGCAGGTGCCCCGCCCTCCACGCTGATGAGCTCTGCAGCTTGTCAGAGGGGCTGGGCCTCTCCCCAGACCCCGAAGGTTCCTGTCTTCCCTGGGAAATGGCCTTCCGCCGGGTGGGGTGGGCGCGCTCACTGGGCTTCTGTGCAGCCGCCACACTGCAGCAGCCCCACAGGTCGTCCTCACAGGTCGTCCCCACAGGTCGTCCCCACAGGTCGTCCTCACAGGTCGTCCGAGGCTCAGGTGCTGGAATGTTCTTCCAGAGCTCAGAACCGGGGCAGCTGCCCACTGCCGCGCCGTGCGTAGCGGGGAGAGAGAAGGGAGGCAGGACCGCGTCCCGGGTTCTCGCGGTCCAGGGACGTGTGCAGCCGCCCAGGGGTCCAGCTCCGGCGGCTGGTCCCCAGGCCGGCGGCCCTCAGCACCTGGTCCTGGAGCGGGGGGCAGAGAGCCTTCCGGGGGACAGGACGGCCGCGCGGAGTGGTAACCTCTCCCTGTCTGCTCTTTCCTGCCTAGACTCCTTTGTGGGCGGGGTCATCGGGCTCATCTTCGCCTACACCTGCTACCGGCAGCACTACCCGCCCCTGGCCAACACCGCCTGTCACAAGCCCTACGTCAGCCTCCGAGCCCCGGCCTCGCTGAAGAAAGAGGAGAGGCCCGTGGACAGCGCGCCCAGCCCGCCTCCCGAGGGCATCACCGAGGGCCCCGTCTGAGCGGGCCGCGCCGACGCGGGGCGCACGCTCCACCCCGGGTCATCACCACGAGGCTTCTGCAGCCCCTTCGGGTCTCCCCAGGTGTCCTGCTTCCCGGCCCCATGGCTCCCGCCACTGTATGTGTGACTTTCACATCCTTGGCTTCGCAGCGTGGACGCGGGGACCACCTGCGGAGCGGGGCGGAAGGGGCTGGGGGGGGGGCTGCAGCCGATCCCTGTCGGGATGTTCCCTGTGGCCGCCGCCTCCTGTGTTTCCACGGTCGTGAACGATAATAAACCCTCCCATCTGGAAGACGCGGTGGCCGTCCAGTGAGGGACAGTCCTTGGGACGTGCGTGGGTTTCCCAGGGGAGGCTGGGGAGGGCGTGGGGTCTGCGCTGCAGCTCACACTCCGGGCCCTGCCCCGATGGTCCCCGAGGCAGGACCCGTCTCCTGCAGGGCCGCTGTCCCCACAGAGAGCCTGTGTGTCCTCCGTCGGTGCCCCGAGCGCTGGGTGTGGGGCGGTGACTCGGCGCAGACAGGGTGTCGGGCTCCACGCGCACCCGGCCCCGTGGCTTCGGTGAGGACAGGCCTGAGCCCCACCCAGGCTCGCTGTGGACCGTGCTGGCCGCTGTTCCTGTCTCCCAGCCCTCGGGTGGGCGGGTCCCTGGTTCATCCGATCACCAACTCACAAGTGCCGTCCTGCTGCCCCGAGTCCGATTCTGGGCAGGGAGAGCCGGGATCTGTGAACACCCACCCACGGCTGACCCCAGGCCTCCGGCTGGGAGCCCCTGCCCCTGCCCCCTCGGTCCCCGCGGGACAGATGGAGGCTGTTCCTTGGTGTCCTCCACCCGGGGGAGGGGTCTCCGAAATGAGTGTCTCGTGTTTGGTTGCTGTGGGACCACTGTCGACTCTTCCGCTTAAATCAAAATGCCAGGCATCTCCCCGAGGGTGTCCCCCAGGGTCTCCGGGATCCGTCAGTCACTCCTTGTCCCGCCTTCCAGAGGCACCCCCCCCACACTGCCCGCCCCCCCCACCGGCTGTGGCCCCCTGGTCCCAGCGCCCGTCTCACCCACACTGTGCGGCCTCTGGTCGCTGTGTCCACCTGGGTTCCTGGGTCCAGGACCCACTTCGGCTACGTACGTGCCAAGACCCCTCAAACCACAGGAGCAGTCGGCACCTCCTTGAAGGGCCCTGCTGTTTGAGTGCTGATCACTGTGCGGCTACCGCCACAGCCAAGGTGCAGACCTGCTTCCTCCTTCCGTCTGTTCAAGCTCTACCTTTTCTAGACATCCTGTGAACACAGCCGCACACTGGGTGGACTTGTTTCCTCTTCTGTCTGTCTGAGATGTCTGTCCAGTACCCACCTCCTTGCTGGTCTCCTCTGGGCCCCTTTATGCTTTGCTCTCGGCACCTACTCTCGGTTACGCAAACTAGCTGAACAGCTGCACCCGGGACCCTCTGCACCCTGGACCCTTCTCTATGCACCCGGGACCCTCTGCACCTGGGACCCTTCTCTATGCACCCGGGACCCTCTGCACCTGGGACCCTCTGCACCCGGGACCCTTCTCTATGCACCCGGATCCCTCTGCACCCGGGACCCTTCTCTATGCACCCGGGACCCTCTGCACCCGGGACCCTTCTCTATGCACCCAGGACCCTCTGCACCTGGGACCCTTCTCTATGCACCCGGGACCCTCTGCACCCGGGACCCTTCTCTATGCACCCGGGACCCTCTGCACCCGGGACCCTTCTCTATGCATCCGGGACCCTCTGCACCTGGGACCCTTCTCTATGCACCCGGGACCCTCTGCACCTGGGACCCTCTGCACCCGGGACCCTTCTCTATGCACCCGGGACCCTCTGCACCTGGGACCCTCTGCACCCGGGACCCTTCTCTATGCACCCGAGACCCTCTGCACCTGGGACCCTTCTCTATGCACCCGGGACCCTCTGCACCCGGGACCCTTCTCTATGCACCCAGGACCTTCTGCACCTGGGACCCTCTGCACCCGGGACCCTTCTCTATGCACCCGGGACCCTCTGCACCTGGGACCCTCTGCACCCGGGACCCTTCTCTATGCACCCGGGACCCTCTGCACCTGGGACCCTTCTCTATGCACCCGGGACCCTCTGCACCTGGGACCCTCTGCACCCGGGACCCGTCTCTATGCACCCGGGACCCTCTGCACCTGGGACCCTCTGCACCCGGGACCCTTCTCTATGCACCCTGGACCCTCTGCACCTGGGACCCTTCTCTATGCACCCGGGACCCTCTGCACCTGGGACCCTCTGCACCCGGGACCCTTCTCTATGCACCCGGGACCCTCTGCACCCGGGACCCTCTGCACCCGGGACCCTTCTCTATGCACCCGGGACCCTCTGCACCCGGGACCCTCTGCACCCGGGACCCTTCTCTATGCACCCGGGACCCTCTGCACCCGGGACCCTCTGCACCCGGGACCCTTCTCTATGCACCCGGGACCCTCTGCACCTGGGACCCTTCTCTATGCACCCGGGACCCTCTGCACCTGGGACCCTCTGCACCCGGGACCCTTCTCTATGCACCCGAGACCCTCTGCACCTGGGACCCTTCTCTATGCACCCGGGACCCTCTGCACCCGGGACCCTTCTCTATGCACCCAGGACCTTCTGCACCTGGGACCCTCTGCACCCGGGACCCTTCTCTATGCACCCGGGACCCTCTGCACCTGGGACCCTCTGCACCCGGGACCCTTCTCTATGCACCCGGGACCCTCTGCACCTGGGACCCTTCTCTATGCACCCGGGACCCTCTGCACCTGGGACCCTCTGCACCCGGGACCCTTCTCTATGCACCCGGGACCCTCTGCACCTGGGACCCTCTGCACCCGGGACCCTTCTCTATGCACCCTGGACCCTCTGCACCTGGGACCCTTCTCTATGCACCCGGGACCCTCTGCACCTGGGACCCTCTGCACCCGGGACCCTTCTCTATGCACCCGGGACCCTCTGCACCCGGGACCCTCTGCACCCGGGACCCTTCTCTATGCACCCGGGACCCTCTGCACCCGGGACCCTTCTCTATGCACCCGGGACCCTCTGCACCCGGGACCCTCTGCACCCGGGACCCTTCTCTATGCACCCGGGACCCTCTGCACCTGGGACCCTTCTCTATGCACCCGGGACCCTCTGCACCCGGGACCCTCTGCACCCGGGACCCTTCTCTATGCACCCGGGACCCTCTGCACCTGGGACCCTTCCCTATGCACCCGGGACCCTCTGCACCTGGGACCCTCTGCACCCGGGACCCTTCTCTATGCACCCGGGACCCTCTGCACCTGGGACCCTTCTCTATGCACCCGGGACCCTCTGCACCCGGGACCCTTCTCTATGCACCCGGGACCCTCTGCACCCGGGACCCTTCTCTATGCACCCGGGACCCTCTGCACCTGGGACCCTTCTGTATGCACCCGGGACCCTCTGCACCCGGGACCCTCTGCACCGGGACCCTTCTCTATGCACCCGGGACCCTCTGCACCTGGGAACCTTCTCTATGCACCCGGGACCCTCTGCACCTGGGACCCTTCTGTATGCACCCGGGACCCTCTGCACCCGGGACCCTTCTCTATGCATCCGGGACCCTCTGCACCTGGGACCCTTCTCTATGCACCCGGGACCCTCTGCACCTGGGACCCTCTGCACCCGGGACCCTTCTCTATGCACCCGGGACCCTCTGCACCTGGGACCCTCTGCACCCGGGACCCTTCTCTATGCACCCGGGACCCTCTGCACCTGGGACCCTTCTCTATGCACCCAGGACCCTCTGCACCTGGGACCCTTCTCTATGCACCCGGGACCCTCTGCACCTGGGACCCTCTGCACCCGGGACCCTTCTCTATGCACCCGGGACCCTCTGCACCTGGGACCCTTCTCTATGCACCCGGGACCCTCTGCACCCGGGACCCTTCTCTATGCACACGGGACCCTCTGCACCTGGGACCCTCTGCACCCGGGACCCTCTGCACCCGGGACCCTTCTCTATGCACCTGGGACCCTCTGCACCCGGGACCCTTCTCTATGCACCCGGGACCCTCTGCACCTGGGACCCTTCTCTATGCACACGGGACCCTCTGCACCTGGGACCCTCTGCACCCGGGACCCTTCTCTATGCACCCGAGACCCTCTGCACCTGGGACCCTTCTCTATGCACCCAGGACCTTCTGCACCTGGGACCCTTCTCTATGCACACGGGACCCTCTGCACCTGGGACCCTCTGCACCCGGGACCCTTCTCTATGCACCCGGGACCCTCTGCACCTGGGACCCTCTGCACCCGGGACCCTTCTCTATGCACCCGGGACCCTTCTCTATGCACCCGGGACCCTCTGCACCTGGGACCCTTCTCTATGCACCCGGGACCCTCTGCACCTGGGACCCTCTGCACCCGGGACCCTTCTCTATGCACCCGGGACCCTCTGCACCTGGGATCCTCTGCACCCGGGACCCTTCTCTATGCACCCTGGACCCTCTGCACCTGGGACCCTTCTCTATGCACCCGGGACCCTCTGCACCTGGGACCCTCTGCACCCAGGACGCTTCTCTATGCACCCGGGACCCTCTGCACCCGGGACCCTCTGCACCCGGGACCCTTCTCTATGCACCCGGGACCCTCTGCACCCAGGACCCTCTGCACCCGGGACCCTTCTCTATGCACCCGGGACCCTCTGCACCCGGGACCCTCTGCACCCGGGACCCTTCTCTATGCACCCGGGACCCTCTGCACCTGGGACCCTTCTCTATGCACCCGGGACCCTCTGCACCCGGGACCCTCTGCACCCGGGACCCTTCTCTATGCACCCGGGACCCTCTGCACCTGGGACCCTTCCCTATGCACCCGGGACCCTCTGCACCTGGGACCCTCTGCACCCGGGACCCTTCTCTATGCACCCGGGACCCTCTGCAACTGGGACCCTTCTCTATGCACCCGGGACCCTCTGCACCCGGGACCCTTCTCTATGCACCCGGGACCCTCTGCACCCGGG